GTCTAATTTCGATAATAATTTGTTAAATTTTGATGTTATCAGTTTTCTCGAAACATTCCTATACGCACATGAATTCTTATTAAAGCGAACAATCACATAATTGCTAATAATGTATATGAATATCATCACAAATTGTTCTCTGTCACTTTTTGTCTTTTTATTACTCTATGTACAAGGATGGATTTTTAATTCAAACAATAATGGCAATAACAATGAACAACAACAATAATATCCGTAATCACAGTTAAAGCAGCAACAATAAAGCGTATCACAGTAACAGTAACAGTCATAGCCACTATAGTGCAATAATGGTGATGACAAATATGATAATAATATCAAAAAATCCCGAACAATCAGCATGGGCATCCCGTGTTATTGATAATAACTGTTAATTTTTACGATATAGCAGCAATAACAAAAATAACAAAGATGGGGACAGTAATAACAATAATAATAATACCACCGGTAACACAATAATAAAAACCCGCATTCAAGCAATTTGTACGTAAGAGCAAGTAAATCTCTTTTCAACTTTCTGTCAATTTAGTTGCATCGATTCACAACATGAAGGGCTAAGCTAGCGGCAACCAATTTCTCAAGAAGTAATCTGGCTTGAACATTTCTTTGTCGAGTTCTGAGTTAGGTCTTGGCCAATCTTTGTAATAAACTGCAGCCCCGGCAGTCAGGTAGGCTGCCCACCAGGAAAATGTTCCGGTAGTCATGATTGTGTGATTGCATCGTGATAGCGTGGCCATATCCAATTCACGAGTTCTGTTCACCACAAAATATATGTTATCTGGAAGTTCTTACAAACAGTGGCTTAATCAAAAAGTATTTTCGAACTTCAGGCAAGAACCAGCGCATCATTCGAGATCTGGTACTCATCCGCTATCTAGCAGTCTATTACAGTTTCTTTGAAGGCTAACCACGCACCCGACTTGCTGTTTATTTATCCACTGGCATCACTCAAAGTAATATGCTGTGCCAGGCTGTTATCGGCAAGTCTAACATTACACTATGCCCATATGACATTACTTTTTCTTGTGTTTGTAAAGTAGAAAAATGCTAATGGATTACTCGCACCTGTTTGAACAAAGATCGATTCAGCCCATCCAATGTCGTCGCTGGCGATTA